CTAAATTATAACACCATTGTGTACCATCCAGCTACGAACCTTTTGGTGTACGTGACTAGTGTCGTTGGGAGTAGTGACCCGGGAAAAATTCCATAAACAGAAATAACACAAGTGGGAGAAATAGGTTGAGATAAAAAAAGGACAGAACAGTTCAGAAAAGACAGTATTAGCACATCCATCAAAGCAATCGCTTCAAAATTCAATTCATTTTTGTAATCTTAAGTTTAAGTGTGTATGTATAGGGTTAATAAACGTATTTAATGATACGCATCTTATTAATCGGACATACGCTGGTCCTTCGAGTTGTTTAATTGTTCTTACCGAACAATATATGTGGTACAGCAGTACACCGGCGAAAGATAGGTATATAAGTTTTTTTACTTTTCCTTCGCCAAGCGAGCCAAGCTCCGTAACAATATTAACATGTAGTCTTCTTTAATAAAATTCACTAATCTCGCTCATACATTTTAAAACCTTATATAAGAGTAATGCTAGTTAGCTCAGATAATTTAAATATTAATTCTTCCGTTGTCAGCAGTAAGTAACTGATTAAGAGACCATCTACCCCTACCACAAGGGGTTGGTATCTATTACATGTATACTCATATTATAAGAGATTATGCAACAACATTCATCCGCGTTTGCACTTAAGATGTTGTTTTTTGTTTTTATTTTCTGCGTCTACCTGAATACAAACCTGCCGAATTTACAATGTATTTTTGAGGATTACGAAACTTTTTCTGTAATTAACAAAAACCCGTTAAATCGGACGAATTTACAATCGCCGCTAAAAGTGAAAAAAAAATTATTTTTATTTGCATAAATAGAATTGAAGTTACAGTTTTTAGAACGACGTTCCTTGACGCCTTTACGTAAGAAGCTAATCAACAAAAATCAGCGTTGCCATTTGAATTTTTTCTTCTGTATTTTTTCCAAAATTTCTTCTCTGAAAATTCTTATGTTGAAGGAACAACGTTTAAACAAAGAGAAATTTTTTTTGCACAACAAGAAAGCATTTTTCTTTAGTTTTATTTTAGCGTTAGTTTAAGGAATTTTGCAGGGCTATTGAAAACTAACATTACATTAGTGTTATCGTGTTATCCACTGCATATTTATATTTAAACGACAAGCTGGAGAAAAGTATTACTTTTAACGATGCAGAAACACAATTACTAACTAAAGTTTTTTGACTGAAAAGTAGCCTTAATACGTGAAAGCAAGCCCCCAGGTATTACCAAAAGTGTTTAAGATTTATAGTAAACAATGATGATTTCTGTTTTATTATATTCGAGAGTCATATGTTTAAATATTATCACTGCATTCCAATAACGTAGGTGAAACTAATTCATACAAATTGCAAGATTCTGTAGAAAAACAGTATGAGGTATTTTAATTCAAAATTATATCAAATACAACAAATTCTGTTTTTGGACTCCAAATCGAGCAACAGACAGAACTCAAAATCAAGATTATTAAACTGCTTATTATACGCAATATATTTGAAAGCTTTTCATTTTCCCGCAATGTAAGCCAGCCTAAATTTTAAATGTCCCAGATGCTTCAATCAGAGAATGTGATAATGATAATGTGAATACAAAAGTCTACCCATATATATCTTCAAGCTGTTTGGGTTGTAATATATCTCATGCGTATATTATCGAACTTTTTTGAAAGTACATCCACATCAGGGGATGTTTTCTTTTGGGTAGAGAGAGTTTGAAGTAGATTGATCTGATACTAGAACAATAATATGTCAATCCAAGGTAAACCATAATGTCAACTTCAGCTACGATACCCAATTGCGAGTATTTTACGGAAACTTGCTTTCTGCTTAAGTATAACGTGTTGCCCACTGATTAGCTTTAACTAAATCCGTAGGTATGGATCTAGTTCAGTTAATGTACACGTCGCTGTTGCTCATGGTCGTTTATTTCGTAATTCACCTTTGACCGCAAAACGCAACTTCAAAACTCTCTCACGATTTCAAATGAAATGAATTCGCCTTTTGATATTTTAAAAAGCACACGCATAAAAAATAACTAAATTTTGTTGAATTGACATAAAGTGTGCCAACTTACCACCATTTACACTTTTCGGTATAAAATTATTGTTATTAATTTTTTCAGCATTTCATTCGCATAATATATCATAGTGCCAATCGTTTTGTATCTTTTACTTACAATGAAAGTTGACATCGTTACTTGCATTAGAAAGCCATCGTATATGCATAGTATATGTAGGTAGATGCAATGCAGATATATGTATGCGTGTCTATATTACCAGCCAAGTACGATCTGATAAACTGGTTTCGTTCAAACCATTCAGAATGGAATCAAAATGTATGCATTAGGATTGAGTGTTTGTCGGTACAAAAAAGAAAGCTTTATGTAATAACTAAAATATTAAATCATCATCAACTAACCACACGTACATAGAAAGACTTCAGCATAGATGGCCAATGACGTCCACAGTGCTGTTCAACAATAGCACTATTACAAATAGTTAGACATAGGCAATTATTTATAGTTTACTGTCTTATAAAAATATTAATTGCCACGATCTAGTTAAGGTTTCGTGATAGTCGCTTATTTTTTATTCATTTGTTAATGAAAATTTGCCGGAATGATTTTTTATTCTACTATTCACTGAATGTCAATATCTTAATTGTTTTCAATATTGTTTTGTACAGCTTTATTTAAAAACAGCGAGGAAGCCGTTGCAAATGGCTTTGAATTTGATATTTCGGAAAGGGGGCAAAAGTATTCGTATTCATCCTAAGTTAGTACATGTCACAAAGTTCTGCCCTATTAAGTGCTATTTAATAATAACTAGTCTTCTACACTGACTTATGACAGTGACACACTGACGTACTGTCAATTCGACATGCATACATATTTCGGAAAGGGGGTAAACAAACCGTTTAATTCTTTTTTAGAGTTTTTTCAGTGCTACTCTACATGCTGTGGAGAACGTGCAAAATAAAATGAGTCCAATATTTGAAGCATCCACATTTTACTTAGGAAGGTCAAAAATTGTACTATACAAATGAACAGAGACCAAAATCAAAAGTATCCTCGTCCGTCATACGGTTTTAGAACCTTGAAAATAATAAAAACAAATAATTGTACAATCTTTGATACATCCACATTTGAAATTTTATTTAGGAAGGTCAAAAATTAAATACAAGTGAACAGAGACCAAAATCAAAATGGATCCTTGTCTGTCATGTGGTTGTGGAACCTTGAAAATAGTAAAATTAAATAGTTGTACAATCTTCCTTCACCGCTCCATTAAGTTTTCAAGTTACATTAATGTAGAAACGTCCAATTTGACAACGCCAACAATCAATGCATATCACTCATTTTTGTTGAATATAGTAAGTACTTAGTTCATTTTTTTGCATAAGTTTCTGAAGTATTAACAGAAACACAAAAATTGTCTACTGGCATTGCATGTTCACTAAATAAATGTCTTTAAATTAGACGAAACTTCCTTGCAAGGTATACAAAAATTCTCCGATGAATTTTTTTTTTGAATATTAACATCTATAAAATGACCTTATGCACAGATCAAATTTGTTTAAACCAATTTTGAACAAATTGCAATAATTGCTCTTTTTAACAAAATCAAGGCATCTTTGGTTTTTTTGTTCATTTGAAACAGAGAAGGTCTGTTATAAATTATATCTAAAAATTATTACATACGAGTAAGAGATTTTCGCTTTATCTACTTCTTACAAGAATCCAATGAAGAATGTAAAAAACAATATGTCTTAAAACATTGTAATACAGAACTTCTTATACCGTAGAAATCTTCCCGAAGTGAGTTACACACTTCCTCATTAATTTGAGGAATTTCAAATTAAAATTCGAACCGCGTGCTAAAAGACAAACTACAATTCGGCAATTGCATTAACATTGTACTCGTATTCACTCTAAGTTAGTACATGTCACAAAGTTCTGCCGTACTATGCGCTTTTTAATAATAACTAGTCTTCTACACTGACCTATGACAGTGACACACTGACGTACTGTCAATTCGACATGCATACAAGTCCACAGCATTAAAAGAACAAAGGACTACCATAGGCTAGTTGTAACATAAACATCGTCAATCACACTTAATATAACTTAACAAATAACAAACAGTACATGACTACAAATCTCTAATAGCAAATACCATAATAAATAGTTAAGAAATTGTCTATAATTGTGGAGTAATGTTAAAATAGTGGGTATATAAGTTCATCTTATGTATTTGTTATTATTTTATTTTCCAGTAGATAAATAAGTATTCACGCGCCGGCATAACTTTCAGGGAAAAATATAATAAATACTGATAAAATAATTACACAAAAACTTCTTTTTTATGTCATTTCAAACAAGACTGTCAAAAAAGACGACAAAATATAGGTTTTAATTAATTTTTAAAATAAAAGGTAGTTGTAATTACTTAAAAGTCAAGAAGACTATATCATATCTTTTGCACACAATAATGAGAAGTAAGAATAACAGACGGGATTGTTTACAAAAAAAAGATACTTTCGACATACTTATAGCCAAAAATTTACACTAAGAGCGCAATAAAAAGATTTTCTCACATACCTATACACACCATTATGTGGAAATTAGGGAAAATAATGAGGATTACATGACTACAAAATTGTGAGCTGTACAATCACGGTAAAAAAATGCAGTAACCACATCACTTCTTCCATATAAATACCATCGGTTGGAATTTCATTAAGTGATTTTTATAGAATATCAAAATATTTAATTTTTCGTTAGTAATAATGTTTGAATGAGTTTTTTACTACTGATAATTACGATAAAATATAGACCCAAAAGTTATCTGTAGTAAATAATTACGATAGTGTATTTTAAAAACATGTAGTAATAAGTGGTAAATCACCCTAATTACTTAGAAATGCAAATGGTGTACTTAATGTTTATCAGGTTTAACGACATTCTGTCATATTGTATATCATTATTTTGTCGTAGGATGCGAAATACCTTCCCCTTGGTTTTAATTTTGGTAGTAACAACTTTTATTCCTGATGTTAGCCCTCAAAAGCATGCCTTATTTGTCAGAAAGGACGCAGTTAGAAATGGTAAGAAAATCTCTTTATTCTACAATTCTCATTATTATAAAAAACGTTTTGNATATATTTATATAATTTTTGATCATAATTCTTTGTAAATAAAAGTAATATTTTAGTAGCAGTATATGTAATTAATAAAGAAGTGAAAATGTCAACGTGTAATATACTTGCATATGTTTATGTTTCTATAAACTTGCTTATTAGAGAAATATACTATTAGCTATTTATAAATACTTTTCTCTCTTCTATTCTATTTTATTCAAGATTGCAACTCTGTAGTTAGAAATTGTTTTTATTAGGTAAACGGGTTACCAGACAAACTAGTGCAGATCAAATGGTTCAAAATATCCTTCAATGGCTTCAGGAGGTGTACAACTATAACACAAGAAAAAGTACGTTGACTTTGCCATTCTTCTGTAACTTACTCTTGCTTTACTTTTCTGCGTTAAATGTACATAGATAATTTCAATAGCTTTAAAATTAATATATAGGTAATAAAATTAATGAATGTAGAATAAGTAAAGCGTATTCCTTTATTCCTTATAATTTAACGTAGGTATGTGATGCAATCTACGAAAAGGTACCTTATCTTTTCAGAGGTAATAGTTACCATTATGTTGTATGTATTCTTTTAGAGAATAATATTGGACAATAAAATAAGTTATGGGCTTTTAATGATCTAAGTTCGAAAAAACTGTTTTCAAAAAATCCAGTTTAAAGTTTTCAAAGCTGTATTTAGACGTAGCTGTAGGTATTAAAGTACGTCCAAACGTTGAATGCTACAACTTAAGGCACTTTTTACCTTCTCGCTTTAGCGCTAGTATTGAGTTAAAACCTAACTGGTAGGTGAAATACGGCAGTCGTCGTCAATTCTAGAACTAAATAGTACTTTCTTAAAAATTTTACTCTGACAAGATAAAGTCCGTTTTCGATAATCACGCAACATATCACATTCATTGATTTATATATTTTATTCATTTCTTTCAAGTTCGTCAAGGATCTTTAAGAGAATATCTACCTCCCGTTCACACTCAAAAACCTCGACCGTTCGAACCACCTAAGCCAACAGAAGGTGGATATCCAGCAGCAGGAAGTATCACTCCTCAACCACCGTTTTCCGAAAATCCATCTCCAGGGACGGAAATATCTCCTCCTTACCCAGGTACAAACTCTCCTTCAAGTACTGCACCTCCAGAAGGTCCATCAACAGGATATCCCAGTGGTGGGCCATCAACCGGTTACCCTAGTGGAGGTTCGTCCACTGGGTACCCTAGTATAGGGTCAACAGAAGGTTCAACAGTGGGATATCCGAGTGGAGAAGAATCATCGGAATCTGCCAGCACATCTGGAAGTGCATCTCAACCGAGCACAACCGAAGCTACTTCGCCTTCTGCACCGTCTCAACCGAGCACCACGGAAGGGGGTCCTGAAGAAGCAAGTGGTTCTACATCTACTTCTCAACCTCAGGAATCATCTACACCATCTCCAGACGAAAACTCCATTCCCAGCGAAAGTTCTGAAAAACCTAGTGTTGATGGCGGCGAAGATTCAGACAAACATCCTCCACATATACACAATATTGACGTAGAATGTTCCAAAGAAATGATGACAATAAATATAGAATTCAACAGAGAATTCAATGGTATCATTTACTCCAAAGGTTATTACAACAACCCTGATTGTAGATATGTACAGGAAAATTCTGGACAAACTACCTACTCTTTCACTGTAAATTTAAATTCTTGCGGAACTGAATTTGTAAATGGCTTTGATACTCAAGGACAATCTTACCTAGAAAACGTTCTTGTTTTACAAAATGAGGCTGGAATACAAGAAGTATGGGACACGATAAGAGCTGTTCGATGCCTTTGGGAAGGAAATCTTAAAAAGGCACTTAACTTAACTTTAAGCGTTGGTATGCTTAATCAAGAAATAGTCACATTTAGTGGAGATACAGCTATGGCCAGACTAGATATACAAATGGGTAAGGGCCCATTTGCCCCGCCTGCCAATGGACTGATTAAAATTGGGGAAGTTATGACCCTTGTCGTATCAGTGACAGGAGATCCAGGCTTTGATATTCAAGTTAAAGATTGCAGAGCCATAGATTCATCAGGAGAAAATGCAGTAGGTCTTACTGATGAACAAGGTTGCGTTTTGAAGCCAAAATTGTTTGGAGCTTTTCAGAAAACAAGAAACACTGGAGATAGTGGAGCTTCTATTATAGCTTACGCTTTTTTTAATGCCTTCAAATTTCCGGATGTTATGGATCTTACAATCGAATGTAACGTAGATCTATGTAAAACAGATTGTGAAATGTGTCCAGATCCTAATCAAAAACTAGAACCAGGAAGAAGAAAGCGTGACTTACATTACTATCAGAATAGAACAGAGAACGATGAATCGGTTAAGATTGGCAAAACATTGAGAGTCATTTTTCCAGAAGAGTTGGGTGACAATAGCTCCTTACTTAATATTCGATATAACGAAGGTATTTGCCTGACAACTCACAGTTTCTTTATAGCTTCCTCTCTATTAATATCTCTGCTGTGTTGTAGTTGTTTGTTTAGTGCTTTTATTTGGATCAAATACCATCAAATTTCTCGTAAACTATAGGAAATAAGTAATAGTCATTTATTTAAATTTTTTATGTAATGTTCTTATATAATTTCCTGCCAGTACTTCTAAAAAAGACTACAATAATTAAATTTGTAAATAATATAATTTTAAAATAAACTTGTAATATGTACCTACTTGTAAATTTTCTGTTGCCTAGTTTATTGTTCCGATTAACAATTATCGTCTAATTTTAAAACTTACTGGGATTTGCACTAAAGACACCGAAGTACTAATGTACTAATATGTTATATACTAGAATAGGGATGCTCTATAAATTATATTGCAAGGGATTTTCTGGTATATTTATATTTATTTATTTACAAACTACAGAGGATATCTTAGAGAAACGGCCCATTAGAATATTTTCGAAACTACTTCCATTTTACAATTTATTTTAAATGAAACACCCTGTATATTTTTAAATTTTCAGAATCTACGTGTTATTTTAAAGGGACTTCCATGTTTAGGTCTGCTAGTAGTATTCTAGTCTTAATTGCATATTCTATTATTCAAGCTGAAGTATTGATATTTGGACGGAAGATGGGGGGATGCCCATCATTTATTGTCAAATTTGCGTTAAAAGTTGTTTAGTATTATAAAGGGTGGTGAAAATTTAATGCCCAATTTGGGTAATTTCGAATCATCAACACATTTTTTTTGATGGAATACTCTGCATATTTTTTCCTATCAGTTGTAGAATTTATCCCTTTATCCATTAATATTATTATGCTAACCCATACCCATCCCTTTATGTTTTTTTTGTTATTTGCGTTTTAAGGATTCCGTACGTCCGAATGAAAACGGAACCCTAATAGAATCGTGTGTCTGTTTGTCTTTGTCTGTCACAGTCAATTTACTCGAAATCTACTGGATCGATTAAATTGAAATTCAGTACATATAGAAAATTTCTGTGGTCTAAACACAGACGCATAAGACAAATAAATTAATTTTGAACATGGGGGTCATTTTTGGGGTGCCAATAAGAAATTAAAAAGAAAAATTTTGCAAACTTTCCCGTGTGACATATCAAATGAAAGAGTTTGTTGTAAGGGTCTAAAATACAATTGTTTTAAATTTTAAAATAAATAGTTAAAGTTATTTAATAAAATAGATAAATTTTAAAAAAAGGTACAGAAAAGTACAAAAAATAGTTAGGATTCCGTACGTCCGAATAAAAAACAGAACCCTTATAGGATCACTCGTGTGTCTGTCTATCGGTTTTTTTTTATTATATGTAACTAAAATGATCAAATTTCTAGCGAAGATAACTATGCTAAGCAAACAAAATAAAAAACAGACATGTCATCACTTGCTATTATTTGCTGTTAGTGTTAATTATCTACGTATTAAGTATCCCTGGTGTTAATTTTAAAATAATGGAAAACAACATTTATACAAATGCTAATGTTTTAAATTTATTAAATAATTATCTACGGACAATGTAATGAATGTCGTTTCGTAGTTTCGACGAGATTTTAATGATACATGCATACCGAAGCAACTACAGTCTATTTCAATTTGTTGGAATTGTGACCTTGAAGAAATTTGCGCGAAGGTAGAAAGAATACACACCAGGCGTGAGCAAGACAGAAATAGTTGGAACAAGCTTGAACGAGCAGAACTCTCGATGGGCGGTCTTAGGAGATCGGCTAGAACTGTACAGTACTAGACGAAAATGTTTAGCAATTTCTTAAAACAAAAATGTTTATAAATTAACAATAGAAAACAAAGTAAAAGTTTTATAGGTGTGTAGAACGTTAAGTTAATTCACTTGTTATTATTTTTGGCTAAATATGCTTTTAAATAAAGCATATTCTTAAATTTTAACGAGGCAGTTTAAATAATTTTACAAATGGTACTGTACACTTTTGTCTAGTTCTCGCTAAATGATCGGTGGAGAAATGAGCTCCGCAGACAATATGATTGAATTTGGAATTATGCTACGGCGCATGCTAATAAAGGGAAAGGGCATATCTCTAACTTCTTGAAACGAACAGTATACACCTACATTTAATAGTGATAAACATTGAGACATTAGAATAGAGTAGACAAGCTCATTGGAAGTATATTTCTTAAATAAAAGTAACAAAGAATAAAAGGACTTCATCTGTAGTTGTTTTCATCTCATTTTCACTTAATAGTCAGTTGTGTCGGTCAATCAGAAGCACCATTAAATAAAGAAATGGAAGGAAAAGGTCATTCCACTGTTTTTAAACCATGTCTCACCGTCATTTATAAAAGCACGTGGGAAACTTTCAATAAGTCTTCGATATCATCGGATTCGTTCTTTCCTCTTGGACGAGAGCTTTCCAGTGATATACGTACCACTTGTTAGGGTTTCTCACAGCCGGTGAACTGCAAGAAAATTATCGGATAGAACATTCTGGAATATTCGATTAAAAAAATCCTCCTCCAATTACCGTCAGTCTTCTTCTATCTCACTTATGACACCAAATACGACGTAATCAAACACCTTCCTCACTACTAATTTACTTGTCGATTTTTCGCTATTTTTTACTTCACTTTGTATCGCCTCGTATCTAGAACTCGTACCTAAATAGTACCCTTCGAGTCACTCTAGTTGAATGCCAATTGATACCAAACTAATTTTTAATTTAATGGAAGTGTGATCACCAAAAGAAAAATAGCTAATCATAAAAAACTTTAATTGATTGGTAATTTATTAAGAAAACTTAAAACATTGATCTTTAATTTACAGACAAAAAATATATAAAATAAAATAAAAGTATTCTAGTAAATCACAAAAGTCAAATTAAAAATAATTGTACACAAGAGTAAAAAAATTATACAAAAAATCAAATGTAATTTTAAAACTATAAAATAAACGTACACTACTCATAATACCAACAAAATAAAAACAGAAAAAATCCTCTGCAAGTACTGAGGAAGACGGGGTGATTAAAATCGGTAATGTAGATAATCTCCACTCTCCACAATTAACTTTTCTTTTCAATTTCCAAATTTATTAAATTTTACTTTAAAACGTAGAACGTACCAAACCCTGGAATTTTATCAACCAGCTCTCCCACACGTGGTGCCTTACCTCGTTGCTTCTCATACAACGCGCGGCAAAACGTACCCCCCAAACGTTCGCAATTGATTTTTAATAACCTATAGTAAATTGGCCACGTCTACATAAATTACCGGTCACCAACATGTACAATGCCTATATCCAAACGATGTAATTTGACGCGGGAAACTTAAATGCCTGATCTCAATGTATAATGTATTGTTTCGATTTGTGTTTAAGTTTATGTAGTAATAGAGGGTATGGTAATGATTAATGATTTGGACCTACTTGTTTTTTACTGTGATTATGTACTTGAAGAGCTTGAACGTTAATCCTCAGGATTAGAGGGATTATTATGATCCTGTGTAGGAGTGTCTCGCCTGGTCTTTTCATTTTACCTATGTTATATTTATTTATATTATTAGCACTTGGTATAAGGCCTACTAGAAAATACTACAAATGGCGTGGTGAGCGCCATCTGTAGTATGATGCTACATTTGAGGATTACATATGCTGCAACAAGGTCCATTTAAAAATATGGATATCTACTTGCTGAAACGAATCCCGGCGTAGNTTTTAAATAAAGCATATTCTTAAATTTTAACGAGACAGTTTAAATAATTTTACAAATGGTACTGTACACTTTTGTCTAGTTCTCGCTAAATGATCGGTGGAGAAATGAGCTCCGCAGACAATATGATTGAATTTGGAATTATGCTACGGCGCATGCTAATAAAGGGAAAGGGCATATCTCTAACTTCTTGAAACGAACAGTATACACCTACATTTAATAGTGATAAACATTGAGACATTAGAATAGAGTAGACAAGCTCATTGGAAGTATATTTCTTAAATAAAAGTAACAAAGAATAAAAGGACTTCATCTGTAGTTGTTTTCATCTCATTTTCACTTAATAGTCAGTTGTGTCGGTCAATCAGAAGCACCATTAAATAAAGAAATGGAAGGAAAAGGTCATTCCACTGTTTTTAAACCATGTCTCACCGTCATTTATAAAAGCACGTGGGAAACTTTCAATAAGTCTTCGATATCATCGGATTCGTTCTTTCCTCTTGGACGAGAGCTTTCCAGTGATATACGTACCACTTGTTAGGGTTTCTCACAGCCGGTGAACTGCAAGAAAATTATCGGATAGAACATTCTGGAATATTCGATTAAAAAAATCCTCCTCCAATTACCGTCAGTCTTCTTCTATCTCACTTATGACACCAAATACGACGTAATCAAACACCTTCCTCACTACTAATTTACTTGTCGATTTTTCGCTATTTTTTACTTCACTTTGTATCGCCTCGTATCTAGAACTCGTACCTAAATAGTACCCTTCGAGTCACTCTAGTTGAATGCCAATTGATACCAAACTAATTTTTAATTTAATGGAAGTGTGATCACCAAAAGAAAATTAGCTAATCATAAAAAACTTTAATTGATTGGTAATTTATTAAGAAAACTTAAAACATTGATCTTTAATTTACAGACAAAAAATATATAAAATAAAATAAAAGTATTCTAGTAAATCACAAAAGTCAAATTAAAAATAATTGTACACAAGAGTAAAAAAATTATACAAAAAATCAAATGTAATTTTAAAACTATAAAATAAACGTACACTACTCATAATACCAACAAAATAAAAACAGAAAAAATCCTCTGCAAGTACTGAGGAAGACGGGGTGATTAAAATCGGTAATGTAGATAATCTCCACTCTCCACAATTAACTTTTCTTTTCAATTTCCAAATTTATTAAATTTTACTTTAAAACGTAGAACGTACCAAACCCTGGAATTTTATCAACCAGCTCTCCCACACGTGGTGCCTTACCTCGTTGCTTCTCATACAACGCGCGGCAAAACGTACCCCCCAAACGTTCGCAATTGATTTTTAATAACCTATAGTAAATTGGCCACGTCTACATAAATTACCGGTCACCAACATGTACAATGCCTATATCCAAACGATGTAATTTGACGCGGGAAACTTAAATGCCTGATCTCAATGTATAATGTATTGTTTCGATTTGTGTTTAAGTTTATGTAGTAATAGAGGGTATGGTAATGATTAATGATTTGGACCTACTTGTTTT